TGGGCTAAACAGAAAAGGGAATTTTTGGATTTGATAACTGAAAAGTCCAGGGGGGTAACTAGCTTCAGGTGTGACTGGATCCAGGGGCTCACATAAGGATCTGTCTCTAGGATCTATTTCCACCTGTCTCTCAGCTCTATCTTCCTCTGTGTTGGCTTTATTCTCATGTGACTCCATATGTGGGGTCAAAGTAAGATAGCTCTGGCTTACTGCTGTCAGCAGAAAGTACCTCTTTCCTAATAATTACAGCAAAATTCTCAGGGCTGATTCTCACTGGCCAGGACAATGGAACATTCTGATTGGCCAGGCTTAGATCACATGCACATTCCCTGGTGTTGTGGAGGGATAGAGTCAGCTATATCTCAACCTCATGAATGGAGACTAGGGGAGCTGAGGTTCCCCCTCAGGAAAATGGGGTGCTGGATAGGCAAAGCCAAGAGAAGCCCCTCCTGACCACCCCCATACTCGACTCCTATCCAGCTCCTCCCACTCCTGGCACCTGTTCATCCCCACTGGCTTCTCTTTGCCACAGGGGCCTCTCAGCTTCTTTGTGGCTCCTGGGTGGTTGGCCTGCATCCCAGCCCTGTCCCTACTGGGGCTGCTTGACACTCTGTCCTAGGCCAGAGCTGGTGTGGGTCTGCTAAGTCCAGAAGTTTGATCCACAGGGAGTGGTGAGGGAGGCACAGGGGACCGGTATCTCTCTTCTTGAACTAGTCCCTTCCAAGTTATCTCAGGTTTTCAGAAATCTCAAGGGACGCAGCATACCCCCTACTAGCTGTAAGCTCCCTGTGCTTAGCGTGGTGGCCTGGCCCTCACATGGGTGCAGCATGGCCACAGTTCAGACATCATACCTCAGCAGCCACATACAGGCACAGAAAAGGAGGGCTTTGTCCTTGGAAGTATCTGCCAGTCAGGGAGGAACGCTCTTCTCAGGAGACTCCCCATGTGGCAGAACATGCTCTTGCCTAACCAACTGTTGACAAGGAGGAGAGGGGGCCAACCTTCTTGACCGACCAGAGCGTCTCTGTAGGGCACTGTCAGCCAAGGGGAGGATGATCATTCAATGGTGGACATTTGGCAGTCCTGGACCCTGTCCATGAAAAATCCATAGCACCCTTGCCCCATAGTCCCTGTATCAAACTGCAGCACCCATGCGCCCTGCTGGGGTGTCTGGTACTGCTCCACACAACCACTGGCTTATACTCATTGAGGTACAGCTTCTGGTGCTGGGGAGGGCCCTGATCTGAATGCAGAGCGTGGAGTGGGGTCCTGGAATAAAAGAGCAGCTTGTTAGCAAGGAAGAAGGGGGCTGTGTCTACTGGGATGCCACTGATAGTGTCAACCTCACTGCTGCTAAGTAAACATACAGGGGCTCAGGCCAGACACTATGACATCAGTCTTCTTCACTCTTCCCTCCCTCCATGTGTCCACCAGCAGGTCTTGTGGCCTGATCTCTCTAAGATATCTCACGTCCCTCTACTCCACTCCACTGCTACCACTAATTAAGCCACTGTTCTCTTGTGCCTGAACTGGTACAGTAGCTCCTGGGTCTCTGCCTTCACTCTTTCCCCCCTTCATCCCGTTGTCTCTGGCAGCTGAGCAGTCCTCTCCACAGGGAAATAGGACCCTGCCACCGGCCTTCAGAACACCCGTCTCAATGCACTGAGAATGAAATCACATTGCTGTGGTCATATGGCCGGGTCTGACCTGGCCCCACCAACCTTTCTGATTTCATCTCCAGCTACACTGGTCTGCTTTGTGCCCTTTGAACAGGCCAAGCCTATTTTTATCTTAGGGCCTTTGCATCCCTGTCCTCTCCCTGGTAGGCTCTTTATGCACATTATTTCAAGGCTGGCTCCTTCTCAGTTATTTGGATCTCAGCTCAAATGTGACCTTGTCTTACAGCGCAGTCTGAGGCAGCACCCCTTTATGTTCCCTGGGATTCAGGCTTAGCTGTTGAAACAAAGGCTGAGATAACAAGATAGAAGATTATTCTTGCCTGTTGCATGACAGTCTGCGTGCAAGCTGTCCGGAACATGAATGCAGCCCTACTGTGTCTGGGACCCAGACACCTTTCTTATTGCTCCGTTATCCTCAGTACATGGCTTCTGTCTTGTCGACTAAGATGACTGCTCTTATCCCCACCACCATATCCACATCCAGCCAATAGGAAGGGTGAAAGGCACAACGTGAAATTGGCAAACCTCGCTGCTCATGTTCAGTTGGATAAAACTTGGTCAGGTGGCCACAGCTAGGGGTAAGGGAGACTGGGGGAGTAGCCATGGTTCTGGGAAGCCACGTGTGAACTAAAATCTACCGGCTCTAGTATTCCAGGAAAGGGTACCTGTTGGGGACTGCAGCAATCTACTGGGTTTCCCATCCTTTTGTCTCACCCCCCTGTGCTCTTTTCATCTCAGCACTTATCTCTAGGAGAAGTTTTCTTTTTAAATAGTGGCTTTTGTGCTGGCTGTCACCTCCCCTCCTTGAATGAAGGTCCCATAGGGGCAGGTGTATCCCAGCACTCAGACTCCTGCTTGGCTCACAGTAGGTGCTCTTTACCACCTGCTGTGGGTGAAAGAATGCACGAATGAAGGAAGGGTGTACTTCTTTGGCTGTCTCTCCCATTAGTAGAAAACAAGGAAGGAACCAACTTCTTTCTTTGGATCTACTGTGTGTCAGGCATACATTCTCTTTAATATGCCTCACTGTTGGTCTGTCCTCAAGTTGCAGGTGGGCACGTGATCCCGGAGTCAGTCAGTGGCCTTTTGGAGAGAGGGATGGAGGGACCTGAGCCCCAGATCTTGGCCCACCTCCTTTGGAGTCTTATTTCCCTGTCAGCCAGAGGTGGCATTTGCATTTCATGGCTGTGAGAAATAGTGAGGATGTTCCTGTGTCCCATCCAGCCCTGTCTTGGGCCTGCTGTTGTTCAGGGATAGTATTAGTAACAGACAAGCAGAGGTTCCTGTTGTATTGCTGCGAATCCTTGCCAACAGGTGCTAAGCGTCCTGGGCTGCTCCTTGCTGAGTGGGGAGACCTGTGCTCTTGGCGTGTAGAATTTTAAAAAATTTACTGAAGTGTAACCCATACAGAGAAGTACATGAATCTTAGGTCTGTGGCTCAATGAATTGTGACACAGTGAACACACTCATGCCCCCACCACCCAAATCAAGTATCCAGAAGCTGGTATACATCATCCCACCCCTCTACCCTCCATCCTCCACAGAGATGACCCTCTGCTGTCTCTGTGTGGGGTCAGACCGCATGTCCTGTGCATGGCATTTGTATCTGTGAGGCCCTTTCATGTTGCTGCCTGTAGCAGTAATCCATTCTTTTTATTTTTGCAGTGTTCCACTGTTCATGTTAGCACCACCATTCACATATGCATTCTGCTGATGGTGGGCCAGCCTGGGGTTATTATGAACATAACCTAAAGTGGAGAGGTGGGTTATAGGGCCCAGTCGGTTCAAGTCATCATTTTAAAAGCTGGCATCTGTTATGTCCTGTGCTCAGGCTACGCCTGGCTTACCTGCCCTGGGCCCCCCTAGCTCCCTGTGGAAGCCCCTGCCACTGTGATTGAGGGCCCAGCTCTACTGCTGCTCTCCCTGAGTCCTGTGACCTTTGAGCCTGCCTTGGTTGTCTAGGGTGGCCCCAGGACCCCAAATCACCAGCTCTCCTATCTTCTAGGCTGGACCCTGACCTATTATTCTCAGATCATTACGTGGGCACTTGGCTGTGCCAGTGTCCTTGGCTCCCACTGCCCCAGTAGCCCTCTGCCTTTGTAGACACGGCTCCCTCCGCCTCCCTCCACAGCACTTTCTCTTCCCTCACCCTCTCCAATTAGAGGCCTCTGTGCATCTAGGCACAGGGTAGTGTCCCATCCATTTGTGTCTGCCTTTCCAAGGTGGAAGCAGAGGGCTTGAGGGTCACCTGAGGTGTACATGATGCCCTGCTCTGGCCCTTGGCAGCTGGGACCCTACATGTCCCGTGGCCTCTGAGTGGGTTCTGCGTGGGTGTGGAGGGTTGGCACTGAAGCTGAGCTACTGAGGACTTCACATGTGCAGGCTGTTGGAGGCACTTTATCTCATTCATTTAGTCTCACCACAACCTCACAGGGTGGACACTGTTGTTACCCCCATTCCAGGGGTGGGGGAAACTAAGGCACAGAGAGGACAAGAAAGTAAGGGGCGGGCTGGGACATGAACCCTATCTCTCTCCCAACTCTCCAGGATTGGAGGGACTAACTGAGGGTGATGCCAAGTAGTTTGCATTACTGTGCCTGGCACATAGGCAGGCTCAGTCCCTGGATGGGGGTCTTGTATTGTTTGGGGGTCATGAGTCAGAGCCTGAGATGCAGGACTGGGCCCCTGTGTGGGGGTTGGGTTGTGACGTGCAGGAACAGCACAGCTTCACTCCTGCCTGGTATGGCGGGTAGTCGTAGTGGG